AATGAGATTAAAATGAACCATTGTAAAGAATTAGGGACCATTTTAACATTTTTAAAAAGAAAAAAAAAACAATTTTGTAAAGTTAAAAATGCATAAAACTGAGCTATTAAAGAGCACACATTTTAGTAGGGTTTGGTAAAGCAATGCTCCCTCCTATAATTTGGCCAAACGCATATCGACACAAAAGTTTGGATTTTAAAAGGGGTCGTCCAGTAGAAACTGCCGACCGCCGGAATCGAAATCCTGTCTCCCGCTTCGGAAAGACTTTTAATTTTAAAAATATAATTTTTTAGTTTTAAAATGTGAAATCAAACTGATTTCATACCTTTTAGGGTTTGAATAACCAAGCACTGCATACCAAGCTACACATATATCACGAGGAATAGACACATTGCTTAATATTGAGGTTCGATTAAATAAACTACTCATGTATGACACCCGTTTGGTCTGCAAAGTCTGTTATGTTAGCCAACATGTTCCCCTATCTAGTACAAAAAGAATTAGATAGGACTTATATTAATCTGGGGTCGTTTTGGTTTTCAATAAGGGCAAACCCCTATAGTTAATTACATCTTAGATAACCGAAGTTATCCAAGAAAACTCTCGATTTAGATCATGAAAGATATTTTTACGAGTTCAAAGGCTAAGGACTTTTCAATGAAATTATGATGATCGAAATCTAATAGATTAAATGTGTAAATTTTGGAACATTTGATTGTAAGGAATCCAAAGGAGGAAAAACTAAGGGATGCCATGGATCCAAGAGGGTATCTTGGTGACTTCCCAATTTATCATATTGTTTGGCTTTGATTCAGAGAAAATATTTATGTTTCATCTTTTTATTTTTTAATTATTTAGAGCTTACATTTACTTAATATCGATCATGTGAACCGCCTAGAAGATAGGAGGATTTATGTAATACTAGATGACAACCTCGAAAACCTAAAACGAGTTAAGGCTTATATTGTACAACAAGGTTGTGCAAAGGCCTAAAAGATCAGATGAGGATTTATGCTGCACTAAGCAAGCTAGCTCGAAGTCCTATGATTTGTTATTTAGTTCTAAGGAATGATTTAGCTAAAGTAAACATATTCTGCTGTTGAAGATGGTCGTGCTGCCCATGGTGCATGCTCAACGCTCCTCGTCGTTGCAGGTTTAGTTCTAGAGATGACAAATTGAAGAGGTGAGAGACGTATCATGTTTTAGAAAATTGAAAATTAAGATGGCTTAATGTCTTAATTAAAACAAAAGTTAAAGTTGATTATGCCGACACAGGCTAGGATACCACGGTTCCATCATTTTAATCGGATTCACTTAGTCCGGATGAATTTATTAAACCCAACTTAATGAGTTTCGTACTTTCATTCAGACTGTGGGAGATCCATTAGCAACACGCGAGTTACCTCTTCCGAGGGACTCCCGGTCATCCAATGAGACGTTTTAATTTAGTTGTAGTTGCAAAGTTTATGTTTTTTGTGATTAAATTTTGAGTTATTTTATATTTTGAATTTTGTGAGGTGATTTCAATTTTCATAAGCAAGTGTCATGATTTGCAATAGAGTAAATGTACAGTAGAGCACAGAAGGTAAAGTACAGTACGGAGAAACAACAGTAGTGACAGTGCAGGTAGTAAAGTAAAACAGTAGTAGCGAGAAGACAGAAGTAGCACAAAAGGGGAAAAACCGTAGTATCAGGCAAGTAATGCAGGTATATGCTGAGGTGTGTGTGAAAATGTAACAGTACGTAGAAAAAGTCGAAAAGAGCAATCCATAGAAAATTTGAAGCAAAAACATCGAAAACAAAATCTGCAGAAAAACTCGGGAATAACCACGAAAAAAAACTCATAGAAAACTCGTAGAAAGTCCGTAGAAAACTCGTAGAAAAAACACGAAAAACGGACCAAAAGTCCGAAAAGAACAATAAGCACGATGGCGCGGAGGACTCAGAGCTGTGCTATATATATCCCAGCCTTAAGTGATAACTACGAAACTATCACCCTACGGAAAGTAGTCCTAACTCGATCAGAATAGTCGAGCGTGGATCTTTGTAAATTTTTCATTCATTTCAATTTGGATTGCATGCAAATGAAAACTTATGGGTGAAATGCTATTTTGTTGTAGGGGTAGTTTTGTATTTTTAAAATATATATGTATATTTTATAAATTAGTGCGATCCACAGGTTGACTATCCTAATCGAATTAGGACTACTAGCAACCTTAACAAATTAAAAATGGAGTTGTGGGATAAGTTTGTAAAACGAGTTAAGCCGCCTGCAAGCTGCCCCAAATTGCCCCTAAACTTAAAAAGACATATTACTTACTATTTACAATTTTAGAGTTCCATAAAAATGCATTTATATTCTAATTTCTTATAGGTTCAAATAATTCAAGATTCATGACATGTTTCAGAAATGAAAACCTGAAACAAAAATTTCTTTTAATGGCAGGTATGCAAGCTACCTCTTCCACAACCAAATACAACAATAGGAGCTCCATCTTCTAATATAAGAGCATGCTCTTCATCCCACCATCTTAGCCCTCCATCATTGCACACAATTTTAACGCCATGATCATCAAATAAAAGGAAAGAAAGTGACTCGTTCAACCTACCCAACCCCGGCATGCCGGGAATAAGGGGAAGGATTGGAGGCTGGATTAGCACCTCTTTATGCAAATACCAAGCTTATGGTTCATGATAAATGTTTGGGTCCAGATGTAACTGGTGCATATCTTCAGTAATTGCTCCAAATGAAAAGAATAGAAATTGAAACTTCAGCCCAAATCAAGAAATTTTTAATAGTGATGCACGTTAATCTTAAATATGAGAAGTTTATTAATAATCATTGGAGTTGAAATCTCAAATTTATTAAGTGTAAAAGAAAATAACCTATTGCCTAGCAAGAATACAAGGTTGCACTCAAGGCACAATTCTCCCTGTAATGCAAAGACTACAAAAGGATTGATACTTTCATTCCTAAGAACAAAAGGATTATCTTGCATACTAAGAACCAAAGGATTATCTTGCATACTGACACTTCCGTTTCAAAAAAATGTAAAGAAAGTATTATAAATAAATTTACAAAGATAAAGCAAGACAATCTAATTGTAAAGATTCAACTCGTGTCTCTTACATGCTTTCATTCCTATCATGTTCTTATTCCTAAAATGTGACCGTAGTTATAATTTCATTGCAAAACTAAGGTTTGCTAAAACTAACCCCAAATGATTTGGATAAGCTAATGAGAGACCATAAGGATTATCTCATTGCGTTTATTGACTTAAATTTGCACTAACACTACTCACAAGTTTAGTATTCCTCCCATTTTCACCTGGTTTCTCCATTGATTCACTACACACATCAGTTTTTTAAGAACAACTTTCCAACCATCCAGGAAAAAATGAATTAAGAAAAATTAGGAACAAAGTAGTAATTTCCAGATAAATTTTAAAGCTCGCGCAAAATTTGACGGGTTAATTGATCTTTGAACTGCAGTGCTCAGAAGTCATTGATAAACAATATTAGAAATGTCATCCCAGACACTGAATACCTGGAGAGGAGAATCAAAGCGGCAATGGCGCAGAATGACCCAAGGAGAGCGCTCGTTTCCGGTCGAGGAAGAAGAACGCGCCTGGTCGGGTGAAGCATTTTTACAGCGTATCTTATTTTACGGCGACGTTTTCTAGGTTTTGTGATGTGATATCTGGATAGTAGGACTAAATCTTTAGTGTTGAGCGACATCTTTAAATGAGAAATGTACATGTGTCCTGTTAGGTCATGATGACTACTTTTGTGAAGTTAGACTTGAGTTGTCTTCTCGAAGAAGACGGGGGTGAGCCCGATAAGAAATTCTATCAGGTGAGCTCGATTCAACCACTTTAACATGCCGGCTCAATTCGACCATATCGACAGGTGAGGTCAATTCCCATAAAGATGAAGAATAAATAACTAGAGGGAGAATAACACAAAAACACACTAATAAATTATATTTACATAAATGTCATCAAATAATAGATTAACTCTCTTTCACCCATCATTCTAACTGCATTCTAAGGTCCCCCCCATCACTGAAACATTACCCTTTAAATATTCATAAGTATTAATTAACAGAGCTAATGAAATAATCTTATCTTCATATTTATAAAGATTATTTTTAGAATGCATCTTTTTAAGGTAAAATTAATATGGCTTATATATGTATAAATTAAAATTAAAATATGACATTTTTACAAATATAGCACTTAAAATTTTCATATTTATCTTTCTCACACTAAAACTTTCATAATTACAAACAGCATATAAAAAATAGTACTCGTTATCACCTTTTAATAGTCAAATCTATCTTTTTCATCCATAAGTAAAGTGCTTTGTGGAAAAATAAAACTATAGGAGTGAGATGTAAATCCATAAGAATGAGGTGCTATGTGTGTAAATTTCCCTTAAAATATTAGATATATATATAT